GTTTTCTCTGTTACTGGGGAACAAGGTGTTTCTTTTGTTTGTGTTTTCTGTCCTAATGTACAAATTCTGATAAAATTGGGTCAGAGGGCTGATGGTTGAATATAATAAGAAAAAGAGGGAACAAGAGTAGCTGGGTTTTACTGTTCTCTCTACTAGAGGGTAATTTTATTGTTACCATTTTGTTTTGTTCATTTTTGCTTTATTCAGTATAAGAACGTACTTTCAGGTAGTTAAGTTTTATTTTCTAACTCAAACTCTTGGTGTTGACCTCCACAATTATATTGTGTTGCACCAACAAGGCTTTCTGACCCTTTGCAGGAGACTCTGGGTTTAATTGGTATAGGGAGGTGTAGCACTGGTATTTAAGCTTCCCAGATGTGTAATGCATAGCCAGGATTGATCACTGCTTTAAATCCGAGAAAGAATAAAACTAGGATGTATTGAATGGCTAACATGTATGCTGGAAACTATACATGTATTATTTTATTTAAAATCATCAAACAACCCTGGGAGATAGGAATTATTATTTCTAGGGAAGGAAAGTGGGTTCCAGACAGTTTCAGTCAATTGCCAAAGTCGCAGACCTAGAAGTCAAATGTGCTTTTTACTCAACTACAGTGCTTCTAAAACCAAGAAAAAATGACACTTAATACTTCACAAAATCTGCCGGTAACCCATTATTTAATTCTATCACCATAACCACTGAAGTAACAATTACTAATATCCTCATTTTATAGATGAGAAATTGAAGCATGGAAGGCCTAAATGGAGAGAAATTTGTCTAGGTTGGTGAGTAGTGGAGCAGTAACATAACCTCATGTTCCAGGATCTTAGTGCTTTTCTTTACAGAGCACACCCATTGCCCCTCTCCTAATCTTTCTGCTTATCTACGAAATAAGAGAAGTCCTAGCTACTCCTAACGGTGGCTGTGAGGATTGAATGAAATATTAGCTCTGAAAGAACTTTTGGAAAACTACAAGCCAATATTTTGGATGAATACTGATGCAAAGTCTCATCAAAATAATACCAAAATGAATTCAGCAATATGTTAAAAGGGTCATACACCATGATTAAGGGGGATTCATCCCTGGGATGCAAGAATGGTTCAACATATGCAAATCAATAAATGCGATATATCATGTTAATAGAATGAAATCTAAAAGTCTTTTGATCATCTCAGTATTTGCAGAAAAAAGCATTTGATGGAATTCAACATTTGTTCATGATAAAAACGCTCAACAAGTTCAATATAGAAGGAATGTACCTCAATATAATAAAGGCCATATATGTCAAGCCCATAGCTAACATACTCCGTGGTGAAAGGCTGAAAGCTTTTCTTCTAAGATCAGGAACACAACAAGGATATCTACTCTCATCACTCCTACTTAATGTAGTACTAGAAGACCTAACCAGAGCAATCAGGGAAGGAAAAAAAAAAGACATCAGAATTGGAAAGGAAGAAGTAAAATTGGCTGTCTTTGCAGATGACATGATCTTATATATAGAAAATCATGAAAGCTTTGCCAAAAAACTGATCAACAAATTCAATAAAGTTGCAGGACACCAAATCAACATAAAATAATTGGTTGCATTTCTATATATTAGCAATGCATTATCTGTGAAAAGAAAGAACAAAGCTGGAGGCATCATACTACCTGATTTCCAATTGTATTACAAAGTTATAGTAATTAAAACAGTATGGTATTGGCAATAAGAACAAAAGACACATACATCAGTGGAACACAATAGATGGTCCAGAAAGAAACCTATGTCAGTAAATTTACAGAATATGAGCCAAGAATGTATAATGAGGAAGGGACAGCCTCTTTAGGGAATAGTTTCTGGAAAACTGCACAGCCGTATACAAAAGAATGAAACAGGACCACTATCTTGCACCGTATGCAAAAATTAACTCAAAATGGATTAAATCCTGAATGTACACCTAAATCCATAAAACTCCTAAAAGAAAACAAGTGATAAGCTCCTTGACATAGGTTTTGGTGATGATTTTCTAAATCTTACACTGAAAGTAAAAACAGCAAAAGCAAAAATGTAGAAGTGGGACTATATCAACCTAAAAAGTGTCTAAACGTCAAAGGAAAGCATCAGCAAAATAAAAAGTCAACCTACTGAATGGGAGATAATATTTGCAAATATATCTGAAAAAGAGTTGCTACCCAAATATATAAAGAATGCATACAGCTCAATAGCAAAAAAAGAAAGAAACCCAAACCTCAAAATCTGATTTGAAAATGGGCAGAAGATCTAAACAGACATTTTTCCAAAGACATACAAATGGCTAAAAGGTATTTGCAAAGATATCACTATCATCAAGGAAATGCAAATCAAAACCACCTCCCACATGTTAGAATGACTATTATCAAAAAGAGAAGAAATAACAAGTGCTGGAGAGAATGTTAAGAAAAGGGAACTTTCATGAACTGATGCAGGAATGTAAATTGGTGCAGCCAGTATGGAAAACAGTGTTGAGGTTTCTCAAAATATTGAAAATAGAGCTACCATATGATCCAGCAATTTCATTTCTGGGTGTTTATCTTAAGAAAACAAAATTACTAAATCAAAAAGATATGTATACTCTCATGTTCACTGCAGAACTATTTATAATGGATAAGATATGCAAACAACCTCAGTGTCCTTCAATAGATGAATGGATAAAGAAGATGTGATATATATATATCATATATATAATGCAATATTATTCAGGCATAAGAAAGAATGAAATCTTGCTACTTTTGACAACATGGGTGGATCTTGAGTGCATTATGCTAAGTGAAATATATCAGAGTAGGACAAATACCATATGCTCTTTCTTACATGTGGAATCTAAAAAATATAGTTCATAGATGCAGTGAACAAACTGTTTGTTAGAGAATGGGATAGAGGGTGGGAGAAATGGGTGAAGGTGGTCCAAAGGAAAAATGTTATCTGAAAAATAAAATGATCCCATTTACAATAACATCCAGAACAATAAAATACTTAGGAATAAATTTAGCCAAGGAAGTGAAAAATCTCTACACTGGAAACTGTAAGATATTGATGAAAGAAATTGAAGGAGATACAAATAAATGGAAAGATAGTCCGTGTTCATAGATTGGAAGAATTAATATTGTTAAGATGTCCATACTACCTAAAGCCAGCTATAGATTCAGTGTATCTCTATCTACTAAACATTCCAATGGCGATTTTTACAGTAATAGAAAAAACAATCCCAAAATTTGTATAGAGTCACAAAAAACCCCAAATAGCCAAAGCAATTTATGAAAGAAGAACAGAGGTGGAGGCATTACATTTCCTGATATCAAACTATACAATAAAGGTACAGTAATCAATTCCATATGGTACGGGCATAAAAGCAGACACATAGATCAATGGCCACCAGAACAGAGAGCCAATAGATAAACCCATGCATATATAGTCCACTGTTTGATAAGGAAGCCAAGAATACTCAATGGAGAAAAGACAATCTCTTCAAAAAATGGTTCTGGGAAATGTATATTCACATGTAAAAGAATGAAACTAGACAATTGTCTTACACCATTCATAAAAATTAACTTGAAATGAATTAAAGACATAAAGTAAGACCTGTAACCATAAAACTCCTCAAAGAAAACACAGAAAAGAAGCTTCTAGACATGGATTTTGGCAAGAAATTTTTGGGTATGACAGCTAAAGCACAAGCAGTAAAGTAAATCAATATGTAGGACTACATCAGACCAAAAATCTGCACAGCCAAAGAAACAATCAACAACAGAAAATATTTTTAAATTGTGTATCTCATAAGGGGTTAATCAAAATATGTAAAGAACTCATACAACTCATTAGCAAAAACAAAGAAAAACTCAAATAATCCATCTAAAAATGGGCAATGGACCTGAATAGATGCTTTTCCAAAGAAGATATTTGAATAGCCATCGGGTACATGAAAAGGTGCTCAACATCACTGATTATCAGGGAAATGCAAATCAAAACCACAATGAGGTATTACCTCCTGTTAGAATGGCTGTCATCTAAAAGACAAGAGATAATAAATACTGGTGATGATATGAACAAAAGGCTGTGCAATGTTGGTGGGAATGTAAATTGGTCCAGCCACTATGGAAAACAGTATGGAGTTTCCTCAAAAAGTTAAAAATGGAACTATCTTATGATCCAGCAATTACACTTTTGGCTTTATATGCAAAGGAAATGAAATCACCATGTTGAAGAGATATCTGCACCCCTATGTCCATTGTCTACAGTAGGGAAGACATGGAAACATAATTTTCCACTGACAGATGAATGGGTAAAAAATCAGTGGTGTGTACGCACACACACACACACACACACACACACACACACACACACGGTGGAATATTATGCAGCCATTAAAAATTAGGATATCCTTCCATTTGCAACAACGTTGGTGGATATTGAGGGCATTATGTTAAGTGAAATAGGATAGACAGAGAAAGAGAAATACTATGATCTCACTTATGTGTGGAATCTAAGAAAAATAAAGTTATAGAGAAAGAAATTAGATTTGAGGTTACCAGAGGTGGGGGGTGGGGTAATGGGGTGAAGGTGGTCAGAAGGTACAAACGTCCACTTATAATTTAAGTAAGCACTGGGGATGTAATGTATACCATGATGACTATAGTTAGCACTGCTGTATGGTTTATTTCAAAATTGCTAAGAGAAAGTAGATCCCATACTTAAAGTTTTACAGTGTTATATGTCAATTATATCTCAAAACTGGAGGAAAAAAATCCTCTTGGGTAAAGGAATTGCCAAAAAATGGAAAAGATAAAGGAAGAAACTATTAAACAGGCACTAAACATATTTCTTCTGCTGGCTTTAGATTTGACACGTTCCATTAGTGCCCATGTTGCTTTGGGGCCCACACCTTCACTAGTCACTACCTCATGTTGCACAGATTTCTAACGACTTGCTTATCAAATCTGTGATTAATTTGGTTTTCATCTTTTATTCTATTCTTCCAGCTGAATCCTTCAAGGAATTTGCCGAATTGCTCAATGAAGTAGAAAACGAGAGGATGATGATGGTAGGTCATCAAACTGTGCCTTGAACTAAGATCATGACTGATATTGTGGATTTGGACTTAAAACTCTGTTCTTTTGGTATCTTATCTCATGGCTGTCTCCTACTATAAAGGCATTTAAGAAGTAAATCCAGTTGGTTTTTTTATCTCAAGCTCCCATCCTTAGAGTTCATCATTAGGTAGAGAAATGTTAGTGTAGAAATCCCATCTGTATTCATTGTAGTGAGAAAGGGTGTCAAAGTAGCCTGTTGATCATGTTGACAAACATTGTGGTCTTTGGTGTTTTTAAACAAATTATTCATTTTCATTTATCTGTTTCTCTGCTTCTAGAGAGAAGAAAATGGCTTTTATTTATATTTGACATATGATTTTTTAAATTTAAATCTATGAAAGCTTTTCTCCTTACATTTAAATTCTATTTTTTCTAAAGTAATATATTTACTTTTTTTTGAGCAGTTTTAGTTTTATAAAAAATTGAGTGGACAATACAGAGAGATTTCATATACCCCCTTTCTCCTGTCTTGAAAATTGTAGTGTAGTAAGTCTTGAAGTTGGGTATGAATGTTAGAACCAGTTTGTGAATATCCACAATATAAATTTATGGGATTTTGATTGGGATTGCATTGACTATATAAATCAAGTTGGGTGAAACTGACATCTTAAAAATATTGAGTCTCTGTATTCATGAACATGGGTCATCTCTAAATTTATTTAGATCTTGGATTTCTTTCATCAATTTTGTAGTTTCCTTTATATAGATTTTGTACATATTTTGTTAGACTTATTTCTAAGTAATCCGTTTTTTTGTGAACTCTATTTTAACAGTTTAAAAAATAACTTTTCATTACATGAGTATATACAAATGTCAAAATTCATCAAGCTTTACATCAAGATTTGTGTATTTTACGTATGTGCTTCAATATAAAGAATAAATAATTTAAAAAGAATCCCTAAGCTTTCTGAAAATCTAGAGACAATTTGATATTTTGTATTATATGACATCCAAGTACATTTAAATCAATCTAAATAAAATCTGCTATTCAATCAAAAAATATCTTTTAGTATGGCCTCTAGACCTGTGTCACCAGTGTTACCTGGGAAACTGTTAGAAATGCAGGTCCTCGGCCCCACCCTAGACCTATTTGGGACTTAAATGTGAAGGTATCTATGTGGGTCTATGTTTATTTTCTTTAGGGGTAAAAGGGTAAAGTAGGAACTTTGTAGAGGACAACAAAGAGGTCTACCTTCTCTTTCTTTCATAGGGTGACTTCCTATTGGCAGCTCAATTTTGTTAAACCCATTTATCCAATAGTAAGAGTTGTTTAATCTGCTATCACTCTTCCTTTTCAATGGTTTATGGTACTGGCTTCTCAGAATACTGCTACCATTTCATCTAGGCTCATAGAGAAGTAGGATTGAAGGCAGGGCTTGGAGATAGGGGGAAACAGAAACTTAGGTTCTAATAATGGCCATGCCACTAACTTGTTGATTTCAGACTAATTCAGATTTCTCTGAATCTCCCTTTCTTTATATGTAAAATGAAGAAAAAAATCCCCACCTCCCAAGATGGTTGGAAGAACTTTAAATTATATAATAAATATGGAAGTGTTTTATAAATTGCAAAAAACACTGATTATGCAAGTGTTGTTTCTAGTTAACTTTTGTTACCTCTAAGATTCTGTTTGTAGAAATTTGCCCTGGGACTCTTTTCTTAGTTTAAGAAATTTGCTTCTAAGGATAGAGGAGGGATGAATATGGGTAATTTTCCTGGAGTCTGGCAGATAATCCCCTAGCTAGCTAATCCACACTGTACAAATGTTTTCTTCTGCTTGAAGAGTTTGTGGACTACTGCCAGTGTTAATCTAAAAGGCATTCACCATCATTTCATTCAGATACCACTAGAAAGCTCAGCTGTATTTCTCTTCAGCTTTAGTTGTTTCTTGATCTCTTTTATTTACCCAATTTCAAAGGTCTAAAATCATGAAGTAGGATCCATCTTTTGATATGTTTTGTTTTCCCACCCTTATTGCCGGCTCTTTTCCACAGAACTGACTCATTTTCTTCTGTCTTTAATTATGTTGTGCCCTTTTGTCCCCACAGCTCTTCAATCATGTATTGAATGTTGGCTCCTCATTTCTCATTTAATTCCAGGAATGCTGTGAAAGTTAGGCTCAATGAGGGCCTTTCACTATATGCCAGGAATTAATTGCTTGACTGCACCTCTCCTGTTTCCTGGAACCCTGATAAAAGGACTCCTGTACCCCAATATGGATCATCTGGGAGATGTTAAATAGCCTTTTATCCTTTCTATAAGAAGAGGCCAAAAAAGCTTTACTAGAACAGGAAGGAAGTTCACAGCTCCAGCATGTGACAATTGCAGATGTCTAGTCATTCTCATGAGTGCATTTAAATGTGGGAGGAACTGTGGAGGGAAGAATTGAGGAGCATCCCTACTGTGATGTTCTTAAACAGTACCCTGGTGGAGGTTTTAGTACCTCAGAAGGTGGCCTTTAAAAAGTCTGGATAGCATACTTCCTATATGATTAAGATAGGAGGCTTACCTAGAGCATTTCTGACTCTGAGAGCAGCTCTCTTGGCAATGGCAATGTCTGTCTTTGAGGACTGCCAAGAATGACCTAATGAGGCCCATAATATTTCAAACAGTGTAACCTTAATGCATTCTTTTGGTAATTGATTAACCGTCAAAGATTCCTGAGCAATCCTGCAGTATTGGATTGAATACCATCTCTAATTTGCTATATATCCTATCTAGTGTTAATTTGGGCTTCATTCAATAGGAACCCTACTAGTTAAACTCACTAATGTGTTTCGAATGTCACTTTTCATGAGGTAGCAGGCAGGATCTTTTCTTCTAGAGATCTCACAAAATGATGCAGTGATCAGAAAAGGGAATAAAGGCCAAGTTTACTTAAAAGGTTATTTTTTTATAGTAGTTGCTACACTTCTAAGACGTTGAAGGGTAAAATAGAATGGGAAGGAGAAAAGAGCCAAGCTTCAGTATGACCTTTACCTATATCTTAAGCTCTATGTTCTGGCAGAAAGTAGTATAATAGCCAATGAATATTAAAGAGTGGAAAAGATTCAGAGTATATATTTGTGTTGTAGAAGACTGAGAGTAGTGTTCCAATGTGGTTAAGGGAAAACTGTGGACTTCAGTTTCAGTGAATCATGTACTATCTCCTAGACTGAGACAGGGCCAAATATGTAAAAAGTAATGGCCTTATGGACCCTGTGTGAGAAGTTGCTGACACAACTGCTTATGCAAGAAAATCCCCAGTGAAACATGAAATGTATCAACTGTGCCATCTTTGGGGTGTCTACATATGCAAGGGCTCAGCTGAATATCCATATAGGGGATTGACACATACTACTCTCCTTAGAAGGGGCATGCTCACTTCTCATTCCAAGGCAAACTTCCTCAATGTTGCCCAAGTAGTCAATTTTTGTGTGTTACCTTCATGAAGCTGGAAATATTTTTTTCTAATTTTCAATTGCTGCATAACAACCTATCCCCAAACTTAGTGGCTAAACTAAAACCATTTAATTTTATCATTGTGTTATGGGTCAGGAATTCAGGAAGAGGTCAGCTGGGTGGTTCTTCTGCTCTATTTGATGTGGACTGTCCAAAACAGCTTCTCTCACATATCTCGCATCTTGGTGGGATGGCTAGAAGGCTGGGCTCAGCTGGACTTTTGACCAGAATGTCTATATTTGACCTCTTCTCCTTGGTAGTCCCATGGTAGCCCAAATTCTTATATAGTGGCTTGGGGCTTCTAGGGGGAGTGTTTCAAAATAACTGGGTAGAAGTTGTTAGCCTTTCCGGATCTAGCCTGGAAAGTCACATAGTGCCACTTCTGCTATACACTGTGGGTTCAAAGCACTAACAAGCCCCTCATATTCAAAGTAGAGGGGACAGACATCTTACGTCTCAAAGGGAGGAATATCATGGAATTTGTGGTGGTGTTTTAAAATGTCTGCAGTTGTAAAGAAGAAAAATGGCTCCTTGTACTGGATCTATGACATCAATGGCTTATTTTGTCTCCAGGTAGGTACACAAAGTTGATAGCACATAAGTCACAATCCATGGAAGTGTAGAGCATGTTGGGCAAGAGAGACAGGCTGGTACTTTTAGCAGGTTAATTCCTGTTCAATCAAGTAGAGTCATTGCTGTCTTTATTTTTGACAGCAGGGCTGGTAGTAGAGCTTTGATTGGTTGAGAGTTTGCCTGTTTGGTTGAACCTTGAATCATATTTTGACACAAAACAGGAGGCCCAAAGTTTTGGCACAACCTGGCACTTATATACGAATGCCCCAACTTGCCATGCTTTTTGGTGGTAGTGTAAAAATTGCTTCTTAGTTGGAGAATACAGGGCTGCTCAAAACTGGTTTCAACCCTGTTTTCTATTTTTTTTATGAAGATACATCTTATCTTTCTGGCACTTCATGTCTCATCTAATAAGGAAGCCAGTCCCTCATTTCCCCATCTTGTAATAGATCAAAATCAATGCACTGGGTCCTAAAATCCAGCTGTCGGTTGAGTTCTCTAAGGTTCTCCTTTGAAGTGAAGCTAATTCACACCAATGAAGAACGAAATCCCTCTTGTTTCCTTGGACAGAAGTAATCTCCAAAAGGTTTATATGAAGACAAAGTTTTGTACATTTCTATCTGCCCACTGAGCAAGAGGTCCAGTTTACATGCAATGTTTTTGAATTCCAGAGTCATATCATACACTCATATTTTTAGTACCTGGACAGACTATTCTTACCAGCTTCTGAACATCTATAGTTAGGTAAGCCTGGACCAGTGTTTCTTGTGTTGCTGTAATATACTCCAAGCTGTGAAGGAAATGTCCTGCTTTTATAACATACCAGGGCAGGACTGGAAACAATTTATCCTCGGCTTTATCCTGATACTATTACTGCTAACTCATTTGCATCCCATGAAATGGTTTGCATTTGGTGCAATTGACCTTTTCACGTACTTTTCCATTCCCTTTCTTTTCTCTTTTTCACATATACTCCAGATATTTAATTAAAAACTCAGATCAGACTACGAATAAAGTTACAGAGAAATGTCTCTAATGATCCTTCTCTCATTCTCTCTCTGAATACTTGATTTGAAGAGATCAATATGAGAAAAAAAGACAGTAATAAGGACCAACAAACAAGCAAACTAGTTAACATTTTACAGGATGGTGTATTACAAGGAAATGCCCTATTAACAAGGAATCTTGAACTTGAACCTTTCTAATCTAAAAGTTGTGTGTTTTTTCTTTATTTTTCTCTAGGTACACAACGCTAGTGATCTGCTAATCAAACCCCTGGAAAATTTCCGGAAGGAGCAGATAGGCTTTACCAAGGTACACTTTCTCCACATATATGATATTTTTTATAATAGTTGAATAGTTGTTTTGGCTACCACTCTTCACTCTTCATGGGTGAGGAGGATTTGTCTCTATTAGAAAACTCGTCATCAAAAAGTGAGAAAATCTCGAACTGACTCCTGGCTATGAGTCTAACTAGCTCTGTAACTGTGGACAAGTCAATTCTCCTTTGGAGCTTCAGTTTCTCCATCTGGAAAATGAGAAGCTTGATAATAATAGCTATATTTAAAGGCTGCTTAGTATGTGATGAACACTGGGCTAGATACTTTGCATTTATTCTCTAATCACAGCAACCCTGTGAGGTTCTAGTATTAGGTCCATTTTACAAATGAAACAACTGAGGCTTTGACAAGATAAAGAACAAGAACAAAGCTATATAGTTAGTAAGTGACAGTAGCCAGGATTTAGATCTGAGATTGTTTTAACTTCAAATCCTATATTTTTTCCATGCTGTCTAGACCTTTCCTATCCAATATGGTAGCCAATAGTTGTATACATAAAATAGATTAACAACTCAGTTTCCCACTCATGCTAGTCATATTTCAAATGCTTAATTGCCACATGTGGCTAGTAGCTATTGTATTAGACAGAATAGATGTAAAATGTTTCTATCATTGTAGAAATTTCTGTTGGATAGCACTGTGCCAGATAGTCTGGGATTATTTCCAGATTGACCACCCATGGGTCTCTCTGATTCCCCAGTGTCTTACAAAGGAGTATGGATAATTGTTCAGTTTATTCTTTTCAGCTAGGTGTAGGCTTATTTTATAAGGCCCCATATGTATGCAACATGTAACCAAATAGTCTACCAGAATTAAATGAAGCATTTTGGCCAAGCATCTCACCCATTTCAGACTAAGAACACACCATCTACTTATTATCTGGAATATCATGACAAGCAGTTTGAATCAAGGATATGGCAGTAGCAAGGTCTAAGAAGAAAGAGGAGACCAGTGGATGTGCCCCCAGTGCTTAATATCATCAGTTAAGTTGGCATGGGCATTTTTTGAGTGACTGGCATTCAAGAAAAGTGAGGTCTCCAGATAGCACTGCAATTCTAGATTCCATTCAGGTCATCTCATATCTCATGAGCATATATACTTAACTGGAAAAGTATATAACTGAAGGAGAGATGAACGTTTGAAATAAAAAATGTGGTATGAAAATAATCTCTTAAGTGACATGATAATTGCTACATAGCATTGAATAAAGAAGATGAAGATGGGTAGATGTGAAAACCTCTGATTTACTTTCATTCCTGGATGAGAATAAGAAAATAGAACATAAGGATATGCTATAGTGGTCCTTTGAGGAAAAAAGATCATTTCTATTATATATTTCCTGTGTCCCAGACCTGGGCTGAGGAATTTACATACGCTGTTTTCCTTAATTCTTACAGCAAACCTGTGAGGTAGTATATATAATATCCATTATCGCACTGAAGAAACTGAGGCTCAGAAAGGTTAAATTTCTATCAGTCTTTTTTCCTACTTCTTTACCAGTGGAGGCAACCTACCTACCTACAAGGGAGGTGACCAACTGTCCATGTGAAAGTTGTTTTTAAGAAACTATCTAGAATTATCCGAGTAGTAAAATGTAGTAGAAAGAGCACTGAACTAAGGACTAGAAAATGTAGTTTCTACCAGTGTGGTATCAGTTTATTGCCTCTCAGTTCCAACACTCCTCAATACCTGTCCTATGAAAACTGACAAAATTCCTTTTAGCATTTCTCCTTTACAGTGAGCAAGATGTTAAACTTTCTCAGCAGAGCATTCTGGACAGATATTGCAAGAAGAAGGGGTTCTCTTGAAGTTGCTGGCTGTTGCATGGGTGGATCAGTAGAGTGGGAATGAGATGTCCAGTGAGATCTAACCCAGCCACACACAGAGAGTACATGTTCCCTCAATGACCTGGAAGCTTCCACCTGGCCTGGCAATAACCTTTATGCAGGTCTCTCAATATAGGTCTCTCTCTGAAGTACTCCCCACTCACGGTGCCCTCGGCTTCCCAATGCAGGCCTCCACTTAGTCCTCCTGCTGACTGGAGGTTTATAGAGAGCTGCTGCTCCTTGCTTCCTCTGCCAGTCCCATACAGCCTGCTTGCATCCTAGGAGGTTCCCACTGAGGCAGGCTGGTCCTGTGAAGCTTACCTGCAACCTACAGACATACCTCGGAGTACTGAGGGTTTAGTTCTAGACCACAGCAGGATTACAAATATTGCAATAAAGCAAGGCAAATGAATTTTTTGGTTTCCCAGTACATGTAAAAGTTATGTTTACACCAAACTGTAGTTTTTTTAATGTGTAATAACAGTATATCTAAAAACACAATGTTCATACCTTAATTAAAAACGCTTTAGTGCTAAAAAATACTAATCATCATCTGAACTTTCAGCAAGGCATAATCTTTTTGCTAGTGGAGGCTTAATATTGGTGGCTGCTGACTAATCAGGGTGTGGTTGCTAAAGGCTGGGTTAACTGTGGCAACCTGTTAAAATAAGACAACAAATGAAGTTTACCACATTGATTAGCTCTCTTCATGAACGATTTCTCTGAGGTACGTGATGCTGTCTGATAGCGTTTTACTAACTGTAGATTTTCTTTCAAAATGGAAGTTGGTCTTCTCAAACCTTGCTGTTGCTTTATCAACTAAGTTTATGTAATATTCTAAATACTTTTTTTTCCAGATTGGCTAAAAGGTTATTTAAGAATTAGACTTTATGAGTTTGTGAAAATACATCCAGCTTTTTTATATTTTTTTCTATTATTTATTTATTACTATTATTATTTTTTATTTTATTATTTTTTATTATTTTATTTTGGTATCATTAATCTACAATTACATGAAGAATATTATGTTTACTAGACTCCCCCCTTCAGAAAGTCCCACCCACATACCCCTTCACAGTCTTTGTTCATCAGTGTAGTAAGATGCTGTAAAATCACTACTTCTCTCCTCTGTGTTGTAGAGCCCGCCCGGCACCCCCACCCCCCACATTATACATGCTAACTGTAATGCCCCCTTTCTTTTTTCCCCAACCTTTTTCCCTCCCTTTCCACCCATCCTCCCCAGTCCCTTTCCCTTTGGTAACTGTTAGTCCATTCGTGCGTTCTGTGATTCTGCTGCTGTTTTGTTGCTTCACTTTTTCGTTGTTCTTATACTCCACATATGAGTGAAATCATTTGGTACTTGTCTTTCTCCAGTTGGCTTATTTTAGTGAGAATAATACCCTCTAGCTCCATCCATGTTGTTGCAAATGGTAGGATTTGTTTTCTTCTTATGGCTGAATAATTTTCCATTGTGTATATGTACCACATCTTCTTTATCCATTCATCTACTGATGTACATTTAGGTTGCTTCCATATCTTGGCTATTATAAATAGTGTAGCAATAAACATAGGGGTGCATCTGTCTTTTTCAAACTGGAGTGCTGCATTCTTGGGGTAAATTCCTAGAAGTGGAATTCCTGGGTCAAATGGTATTTCTATTTTGAGAATTTTGAGGAACCTCCACACTGCTTTCCACAATGGTTGAACTAATTTACATTCCCACCAGCAGTGTAGGAGGGCTCCCCTTTCTCCACAACCTCGCCAACATTTGTTGTTGTTTGTCTTTTGGATGGGGGCGATCCTTACTGGTGTGAGGTAATATCTCATTGTGGTTTTAATTTACATTTCTCTGATGACAAGCGATGTGGAGCATCTTTTCATGTGTCTGTTGGCCATCTGAATTTCTTCTTTAGAGAACTTTCTATTCAGCTCTTCTGCCCATTTTTTAATTGGATTATTTGCTTTTTGTTTGTTGAGGTGTGTGAGCTCTTTATATATTTTGGAGGTCAACCCTTTATTGGATCTGTCATTTATGAATATATTCTCCCATACTGTAGGATACCTTTTTGTTCTATTGATGGTGTCCTTTGCTGTACAGAAGCTTTTCAGCTTGATATAGTCCCACTTGTTCATTTTTGCTTTTGTTTTCCTTGCCCAGGGAGATATGTTGATGAAGAAGTCACTCATGTTTATGTCCATGAGATTTTTGCCTATGTTTTTTTCTAGGAGTTTTATGGTTTCATGACTTACATTCTGCTCTTTGATCCATTTTGAATTTACTTTTGTGTATGGGGTTAGACAGTGATCCAGTTTCATTATCTTCCATGTAGCTGTCCAGTTTTGCCAGCACCATCTGTTGAAGAGACTATCATTTCCCCATTGTATGTCCATGGCTCCTTTATTGAATATTAATTGACCATATATGTTTGGGTTAATGTCTGGAGTCTCTAATCTGTTCCACTGGTCTGTGGCTCTGCTCTTGTGCCAGTACCAAATTGTCTTGATTACCATGGCTTTGTAGTAGAACTTGAAGTTGGGGAGTGAGATCCCCCACACTTTATTCTTCCTTCTCAGGGTTGCTTTGGCTATTCAGGGTCTTTGGTGTTTCCGTATGAATTTTTTAACTATTTGTTCCAGTTTGTTGAAGAATGTTTTTGGTAATTTGATGTGGATTGCATCAAATCTGTATATTGCTTTGGGCAGGATGACCATTTTGACTATATTGATTCTTCCTAGTCAAGAGCATGGGATGAGTTTCCATTTGTTAGTGTCCACTTTAATTTCTCTTAAGAGTGTCTTATAGTTTTCAGGGTATAGGTCTTTCACTTCTTTGGTTAGGTTGATTCCTAGGTATTTCATTCTTTTTGATGCAATTGTGAATGGAATTGTTTTCCTGATTTCTCTTTCTATTAGTTCAGTGTTAGTATATAGGAAAGCTACAGATTTCTGTGTGTTAATTTTGTATCCTGCAACTTTGCTGTATTCTAATACAAGTTCTAGTAGTTCTGGAGTGGAGTCTTTAGGGTTTTTATGTACAATATCAAGTCATCTGGAAATAGTGACAGTTTGACTTCTTCTTTACCAATCTGGATTCCTTGTATTTCTTTGTTTTGTCTAATTACCGTGGCTAGGACCTCCAGTACCACGG